TTATCTTTGCTAATGGTTAGAGTTTAACATGATCAATATATCAATCATAAATAATGACAACATCAAAGACACAAATTAACGATTACAAGCCAGATAAAACAGTCCAGCTTTGTTAAAAATTCGACAGATTTATGATGTTCAATATTTAGTGAAGTGCAAACCATTAAAAGAACAAAGCAAAACCAATTAATATGACATCGAAAGAAATTTGGCAATAAACCATGTGCCTGTGATAGATATTATCTTTTGGCAAAACCAAGTCATCTATGGCACATGGGCACATCCATTTGGAGAATGCAGTTTAAAAAGTTGGTTATTGTTTAGGGAATAGATACCAAGGTCAACACTTTCAATTGTCGGAAGATGTTAAACATTATCAGGATGCATCAATGACAGACACATTGATGCTACTGTATTTTATAGACTGCCTTAGACACAAAACTAATAAATGCTTAATGGCCATACCCTATATCAATGTTGGTTATTGGAAATGAAAAAATAGGAAAATTGCAAGTACTGTGGTTACCTTGATATGTTTTTTTGACAAGTCTGTAAATGACACTACAATTAAAATATTATCTCAGTCAAGAAAGAATTGTTGATGGGAGAAATATTAATGGGTCATGCCAACAACATATTTTATTCTTCCAGCACCCAAAGCAGTCATAGTGGTGGCTAAATTTGAGTACCAGAAAAAATTGCGCAAGAACTATAATTTTCTGCCAAATTTTATGGTGTAGAGGTCTGTTCAAGCACATTTAAAGTGCTTGAACAGACGTCTACACCATAATAACTGAATTTGCTTTAAAAACTAGTAGTATACAATGAGGCTAATTTGAAGGGCATAAGTGGTATGTATGCCTACAAATTTAATCATTAATGATGAGAGAGTGGGTTGGTGTAATGGTTTCCATTGTGGTTCTCGATCTTATTCATGTTTGACTACACCAGTTTGCTCTACACCATGTAGACATCTACTACCACCAACATCTACCGGTACATTTTTTTTTTATTATTGTTACTTCGTCATGCAAACTCTTAAACAATACCTAATGAAATAATTTCAAGTTTCAAATGTGTAGATGGCCGAGAAGAATAGCATGACACAAGTTTTATTGTTCTAACAAGATATGTTGATCTGCTGATTAAGGAACTCTTATGTAATTTTTTAGATTAATACCGGAGTGGCTGATATTGTAAAAATACTTGACATGCATCTGAAAAAAATGTCAGTCATTTTGAGTAAAGACAGTTGGCATCCGTTCTTCATGTGAATATCACCATTGGACTGGTTAATGTGTTATTCGTAATAAAATCTTTTTCAATCGACATATTTACTTTTTAAAAAAATAATGCAGTTGTCATACATGCTAACATTTTGATAGTAAAAAACGGGGGAATTTGGTCATGGGGTGGGGAGAGATGTTCCCATTACACGTGTAATCTCTCCCCTTGGAGGCTTTAGCTATTAATGTATTATAAGGGCAAATCTCATGATTCTTATGATATGTATTCCAATAATAAAAGTACGGTATTGATTTAAAAAAATTTGTGTGTTTAATTCAACCACTTTTGTCTTGTGTCTACACAAGACAAAATATGCCTACAGGCTATGTCTATATGGATTAATTTCTCATTTTCTAGCCCTTTTTCAGTACAAGATACAAAATCTGGATTCAATACTTGTCTAAAAGTGCGTTTTCTATAATTACTGGACTGGTATTTTAGCAACTACAACTTCATGTCCAATTATTCAACATAATGTCTGGTCCGTTTTCCGTAGTGTGTTATTACAAAAAGACTACAATTAACGTATAATGCAATTTTTTGTACACTGGAAGAGTGCGAAAAAACGTGAGAAAAATTGGCCTGTGGTCAGAATACCAAAACAGGAGTCTCCCGGCCAAAGAGTGATTGCTGGCATGTATAAGTTTTTGCTTGAAATATGTCGACCATTTTGTATTTCAAGATGGCCACCATTACAGTAAGAATATCATTTGAACAGGTTGACATTGAAAACATAAGTTTTGCTATCAAAATCATGTCGATACCTGCTTTAATAGCACAATTATGGTTATTATTACTGTGAAAATGGCAGCCATTTTGAAATTCAATATGGCTGCCATGTATGATTCGTAAGAATCTCACCATTAGGCAGGTTGACATTGAAAATATAGGGTTTGCTGCCAAAATCAGTTGGTACCTGCTCTAATAGCACAACTATTGTTATTTTTACTGTAAAAACGGCAGCCATTTTGCAATTCAAGATAGCCGCCATTTATGATCAGTGAGAATATCACCATTGGACAGGTGGACATTGGAAATATAGGGTTTGCTGCCAAATTGATAATATTTGCTCTAATGGCACAGTTATTGTTATTTTTAAAGTGAAAATGGCGGCCATTTTGGAATTTCAAGGCTATCTCCGTCCTGGTCACCCTAAGCCCTGTTGACACTTGATTTTTCACCTGGTATACAAATGGCGGCCATTTTTCAAAATGGCCGCCAAATTTATCTAAAATGTGCATATAATTGGAACTAAATAAGCTACAGTTATGATGTTGGTGTCTAAAGTCATTATTTATATACAGGCAACAAATCAGACATTTAAAAACTACTGTCACATTACTACCAAGCCTTAAGTAACGCATGTGCTTTCTGGGTGAAGTCCAATAACAGCAAAAGGAAACAGGTTTAAAGGGCAAAAAGGCAACCAATATTAAAATTATTATTATTATTATTATTATTATTATTATTATTATTATTATTATTATTATTATTATTAAAAAAAAAAAAATTATTGTAATTATAATTATTGTAGTGAGATTATTATAGTTGTTTTAATTACTGACTTAAAAATGAACAAAGCATTCGCCTGTACAGGGAGTCCTTTCCAGCCTTTTGGAGGATAAATTCTTTTAGTTTTCTAAGATGGAAATTGGAAGGGGCTTTAGGAATGAGGTAGTGTATTGAATTCTCATCACTGCTCTTCCTTGTATTTCAGTTGGAGGGCTGAATTGCAAGTTACATAGCGCACTGTCTTTCGGATGAGACATTACTGTTGGTTACACGGAACCATTATTGCCAGTGTGCACGTTAAAGAACGCAGTATACTAATTGGAAATGAGTAGGAAATTGTTTCCCGATGTACAGTGGTGTAACGACTATGCGCTCCCATGCGGCGGTCCGCAGGGCCCCCGTCACCTAGGGCCCCGAAGGTGCCCCAACCCATAGGGTCCTCGCTCGGGCACCCTTACCCAAAAGGGCTTTGTTGATACATAACAGCATAATGTGTCTCTGAGATCGACTGTAAGACATATATCATAGTATATCCGTGAAGGTTTAATGGGGGCCCTGTCGGCCTGGGGCCACCTACAATTTTCCAATTATTTTAAAAATGGAAATTATACTCGCATTTCAAATATATGAGTGCCAATTCCGGCCACTTTGAGGTGCCGTATTCATAAATGATCTTACCTTAGCCCCAACCATGCTGGGGCTGAGGTGGAATAGGTGTGTGAAAGCCACTCCCTACCCACATTCCCTCTATTTTGAATACCTAAATCTGCAACTGATATATAATTTATTTCCTTGTTAAAAGCAATCTAGAATACAATGCCAAATATTAGAAAAACGAGCAAATTTAAATTCCCACAATCAAAGTGTTGACCAGATCAAAAAGGGGACCCCATTCTCAGAAAACCACTGGGCCCCGGGCCCATAGTTAGGCCACTGCCGGTCTAGTGCCCAATCACCACCAGAAGGACCTCACTGGAAACAAGTATTTTTCCGACTTTTGTGGGTTATCCTTGGTGTTTACACCGAATATATCCATCCACCCATAAGGGACAGATATAGAGAAAGAATTTTGTTTAGAAATGGTGGAGACAACAGACATTTTAAAAAATAGGTTGTTTTGGAGTAAGCCTACAGTGACGTCATGCTCCCTTCTTTCTCGTCTTTCTTCTCCCTTTCTTCTTCATTTTTTGGGGGTTGGGATAGACCCATGTCTCTTGGACCTACCCTGAAACGATTGATTGAAAGATTATTTGATAATACTTATTTATATTGGCAAAGCTAGAAAATGCACGTGCATATTCAAGATGTGTATAAGAGACAGCCATTGGACTGTATATTGTTTATGTGAATATTATTCACAAAATATGTGTGTGTGCCAAATATTATTCACAAAACATTTTTTGGCATTGTCTAATAATTAAAGTCTTTTCATCCTTAACACTTATCTCTAGGGGGATTACCCACCCCGGTGTCACTTCGTGAGCAAAAATATTTTACATGGTGCTTATAACATTGTTTCGGCCCGGGACCCACAACTCGTCGTTGCACCACTGGGAGGACCATGCCTATTAATGTTATAACAAATCAATCACCCAATCAAATATATTATACAGCATGTAACTTGCCTCTTATACACATCTAGATCTTGCGGTCCATTGTTCATGTATGTAGAATCATCAATAAGTAGGAAAACACAACATACTGTATTTGCCTTGGCCACCATAGAGTAAGAGTGGGGCCCCTGGCCTATCCTGGGTTCATTTAGACTCGGAGGAACTAAGCTTTTCCCCAGAAAGTACACAGGTGTACATATCTGGTCAAACCTTTAGAGTAAAATGATGGGTCTTAGTTGGACTGACCTCTTCTAATAAATCAGCCAAAGAGTGTGTTTGTGGGATTTTGTTCTATTTGATAATTAGATTTACAGGACAATATATGAAAAACTACACAGTTTCTGATATGTATATACCGGAAAACATAACTCATCATTGGCAGAGCTTTCAAATGATACTAAACATGACAACTTTTGGTAAGTTTGATTTTTTGACCTTTTGATCTTTTGTGTCATGTGACTTTATATTGGTCTATATCGCTGTAAATATGTATTATGTTGTTTAGGTGTAATGGCAATAAATGATCAGTGTATAATTCCCTTTCCAGGGGCGGATCCAGGATTTGAAATAGGGGGTTTCATTTTCCCATAAACTCAAAAATGAAAGGGGGTCCGGGGTCATCCCCCGGGAAAATTTTGATTCCCAGATGGCCGGAAATATGAGCTTTCCCGACTTCTGATGTATCTTTTAATGACCTTTAATTTCTTCAAAATTCAAGGTTTTACCCCTCTTAAAAAAGGTCAGCTGATTTTATATCATTCTTAGGCCTATACCAAAGAAAATAAATCAAAAATATAGTCAATATATTATTAGGCCAATATCATGAGTGCCTTGGAGATGCCGGCCAATATCAGTACTCTGGTGTTGACTGACTTCTTCAAGGCTTTTGATATGGTGGATCACACCATTGCTTTTGAGAAGCTTTTGCAAATGAATGTACCTCCTGAAATAGTTCAGTGGATAGTCGGCTTTATCTCCCAAAGGTCTCAGCGTGTTATTTATAAAGGGGCGTTATCTGAATGGGCTACCCTCACAGTTGGGGTTCCTCAGGGAACCCTATTAGCAGTGTTAATCTTTTTAATTTATGTCAATGACTCTTTACAAAATGTTGAAAATATGGGAGCTGATGCCTGGAAGTATGTTGACGACCAAACAATTGGTGAAACATCTAAATTTGGTGAACCTGGTAATTTGCAAGCAGTCCTTGACAACCTTTACAACTGGACCAAAAGTAATAAACTTAAGCTCAACCTTTCCAAATGCCAGGGGATTAGATTTTACTTTGGTCGTCGACCACTTCCAGACATCAGCCTCCACATCTCTAATGAAAATCTTCCTGTTGTAAATTCTGTTAAGTTGTTGGGGGTGGTCTTTGATAACGACCTCAAATGGTCAAGTAATACTGATGCTATCATTGCCAAAGCAAATTGTAAACTTTTTATTTTGTGGTCGTTGAGGAGAGCTGGTTTCAATTGTGATGAACTCCTAACGATCTACAGGAGTCATGTACGGCCTGTTCTTGAGTATGCTGCGCCTCTGTGGCACCCAGGCTTAACTAAACAACAAAGCATGGCGATTGAGCGTATCCAAACGCGAGTTTGTCGGTGCATTTTAGCCGATAAGTTTATTAGTTATAGTGATGCCCTTTCGAAGCTTGGAGAGACTTTCTGACCGTAGGGTCTCACTATGTACAAAATTTGCTTAAAAAAAAACAGTACAATCTAATAGATTTCATAACTGGTTTCCAATTAATGATGCATGTCACACCATGACACTACGCACTAATAAGCCATAAAAGAATATAAAATTACCAAAACACGATTTATAAATAGCCCATTACCGTATATGACTAAAATTCTAAATTCACTTTGTAGTGGGACCCTAAGGTCAGATATTTCTTCAGTCTGAGCATTTGGCACAGAGGCGCCTTGTCGTGCATGACTCCTGTAGATTGATTGCGGTTTATTTTTTTATTTTTTTAAATTTTTTCTTTTTTTTTATGATGAAATTGTATATATAATTTTAGAGACTCAATTGTTTAATTTCTATTGAATTTTTAATATGTAATACGTCTTTGTAATTTTCAAGGTATTAATGTAAATTTAATTTTTTTTATGATGAAATTGTATATATGTTTTTAGAGACTCAATTGTTTAATTTCTCTTGAATTTTTAATATGTAATACGTCTTTGTAATTTTTAAGGTATTAATGTAAATTTTAATGTTTAATATTGCTCTATTTTAATAATGATTTGTAAATTTTTAATGGCCAATATTTGTAATAATTTTTCAGTCTCTCAATTCAGCTTATGCTGCAATAGACTCTTTAGTTTGTGCGATTCTTTTTTGCAATAAATATACCTAAATATATATCATACCAAGTATCACGAATCCGGCGTGAACCTCACGTTTTTTCAACAAACCTCAAGCTCAAGCCACTCCTCTAAAATATTGCGCTTTTCCACTATAATCTCAAGCTTTATTTGATAAAACTCAAACTTTTTATCAAATAATATAAACCTTCGCAATTCTATATTTTATCTGGCCCAGATCATCGAAAATTCTATCGTTCCTGTTATAGCTACTCATTTTTAAGGTTTAATATGAGCACTAGAGATATTCAGAGTACCCAGAGAGCATCT